GAGGCAGTTTGGAACTCGGTAGTGAGTGTTGCAAATGAGGACAGATTATTTTTATGCTTTACGCGCTTCAGCACTCGGTGGTCCCGTTCTGTGAGCTTGTGTGGCCTCCCACTTCGCGGCTGAGCTGTTGTTGCTCCTAGAAGTTTCAACTTCACAATAATAGCACTTACAGTTGACCAGGGCAGCTCTAGCAGGGCAGAAATTTGACCAACTGACTTGTTGGAAAGATGGCATACTATGACGGTGCAACGTTGAAAGTCACTGAGCTCTTCAGCAAGGCCATTCTACTGCCAATGTTTGTGTATGGAGATTGCATGGCTGTGTGCTCGATTTTATACATCTGTCAACAACGGGTGTGGCTGAAATAGTCAAATCCACTAATTGTAAGGGGTGTCCACATACCTTTGTATATATAGTGTATCTGGGGAAGGGTATACAACATTTTTTAGAGTGTTGAACATTTCCAAGAGGACAGTGTCTCCATCATTGGGAAACTGAAAAAATATTGAACTACCCAGACCCTGCCTAGAGCTGGCCGTCCGACCAAACTGAGCAACCGGGCAAGAAGGACCTTGGTCAGTGAGGTGACCAAGAACCCAATGACCACTCTGACAGAACTACAGGGTTCCTTGGCTGAGAGAACTTGCCAGAAGGACAACAGTTTTCTACAGCACTTCACCAATCTGGGCTTTATGGTAGAGTGGCCAGATGGAAGCCACTCCTGAGAAAGAGGCACCTGACAGTGCCCCTGGAGTTTGCAAAAAGGCACGTGAAAGAATCTGAGATAGTAAGGCAAAATATTCTGTGGTCTGATGAGACAAAAATTGAACTCTTTGGCCTGAATGCAAAGCTCATCAACCATCTAACACCATCCCTACCGTGAAGCATGGTGGTGGCATCACCATGCTATGGGGATGCTTTTCAGCAGTAGGGACTGGGAGACTGGTAAGGATGGACGAAACAATTAATGGAGCCAAATACAGGCAAATGCTTGATGAGAACCTGCTTCAGACTGGGGGCGAAGATTTACGCTCCAACAGGACAATGACCCTAAGCATACAGCCAAAGCAATGCTAGAATGGCTTCAGAACAAGAATGTGAAAGTCCTTGAGTGGCCCAGCCAAAGCCCAGACTTGAATTCCATTGAAAATCTGTGGGAAAACTTGAAGATTGCTGTTTACCGCCGCTCCCCATCTACCATAACAGAGCTTGAGAAAATCTCCAAGGAAGAATGGGAGAAAATCCACAAATCCAGATGTGTAAAGCTGATACAGACAAACCCAAAGCTGTAATTGCCGCTAAACGTCCTTCTACAAAGTACTGACTCGGGGGTGTGAATACTTATGTAAATTCAGTTTTTGTATTTCATTTTCAAAACATTTGCAAACATTTCTAAAACATGTTTTCACTTTGTCATTATGGGGTGTTGTGTGTTGATGGGTTAGAAAACAATCGATGTAATCCATTTAGAATTCAGGCTGTAACACAACAAAATGTGGAATAAGTCAAGGTATGAATACTTTCTCAAGGCACTATACATGGTGATATGAGATGGCAAATGCACTGTATATGGTGATATGAGAGGGCAAATGCACTGTATATAGTGATATGAGATGGCAAATGCACTGTATATGGTGATATGAGAGGGCAAATGCACTGTATATGGTGATATGAGATGGCAAATGCACTGTATAAGGTGATATGAGATGGCAAATGCACTGTATATGGTGATATGAGATGGCAAATGCACTGTATATGGTGATATGAGATGGCAAATGCACTGTATATAGTGATATGAGATGGCAAATGCACTGTATATGGTGATATGAGAGGGCAAATGCACTGTATATGGTGATATGAGATGGCAAATGCACTGTATAAGGTGATATGAGATGGCAAATGCACTGTATATGGTGATATGAGATGGCAAATGCACTGTATAAGGTGATATGAGATGGCAAATGCACTGTATATGGTGATATGAGATGGCAAATGCACTGTATATGGTGATATGAGAGGGCAAATGCACTGTATAAGGTGATATGAGAGGGCAAATGCATGTGACATGAATAGGGTCGTGTGTAAAAAAAATAAAATAAAAATAAACGCCCTAGACTAGACATTAAATATTTTTCTGAGAACAGATATTGCTGGTAAAAGAGACTCACTGCACTGGTTTATTTAATCCGGTTTGTTGCCCCCTCGTGCAGTGGAGGAGATCTTCGTGGGCTATACTCAGCCTTGTCTCAGGGTAGTAGGTTGGTGGTCTGTTGATATCCCTCTGGTGGTGTGGGGGCTGTGCTTTGGCAAAGTGGGTGGAGTTATATCCTGCCTGGTTCGCCCTGTCCGGGGGTATCGTCAGACGGGGCCACAGTGTCTCCCGACCCCACCTGTCTCTGCCTCCAGTATCTACAGTACCAGTCAAAGGTTTGGACACACCTACTCATTCAAAGGTTTTTCTTTATTTTTACTATTTTCTACATTGTAGAATATTAGTGAAGACATCAGAACTATGAAATAACACAGATGGAATCATGTAGTAACCAATACAGTTCTCTCAACCAGCTTCACCTGAAATGCTTTTCCAACAGTCTTGAAGGAGTTCCCACATATGCTGAGCACTTGTTGGCTGCTTTTCCTTCACTCTGCCATCCGACTCATCCCAAACCATCTCAATTGGGTTGAGGTTTGGGGATTGTGGAGGCCAGGTAATCTAATGCAGCACTCCATCACTCTCCTTCTTGGTAAAATAGCCCTTACACAGCCTGAAGGTGTGTTGGGTCATTGTCCTGTTGAAAAACAAATAATAGTCCCTCTAAGCCCAAACCAGATGGGATGGCGTATCGCTGCAGAATGCTGTGGTAGCCATGCTGGTTAAGTGTGCCTTCAATTCTAAATAAATCACAGACCGTGTCACCAGCAAAGCACCCCCACACCATCACACCTCTTCCTCCATGCTTTACGGGGGGAACTACACATGCAGAGATCATCCGTTCACCCACACCCCGTCTCACAAAGACACGGCGGGTAGAACCAAAAATCTCAAATTTGGACTCCAGAACAAAGGACACATTTCCACCGGTCTAATGTCCATTGCTCGTGTTTCTTGGCCCAAGCAGGTCTCTTCTTATTATTGGTGTCCTTTAGTAGTGGTTTCTTTGCAGCAATTCAACCATGAAGGCCTGATTCACACAGTCCCCTCTGAACAGTTGATGTTGAGATGTGTCTGTGACTTGAACTCTGTGAAGCATTTATTTGGGCTGCAATTTCTGAGGCTGGTAACTCTAATTAACTTGGGTCTTCCATTCCTGTGGCGGTCCTCAAGAGAGCCAGTTTCATCATAGCGCTTGATGGTTTTTGCGACTGCACTTGAAGAAACTTTCAAAGTTCTTCAAATGTTCCGTATTGATTGACCTTCATGTCTTAAAGTAATGATGGACTGTCGTTTCTCTTTGCTTATTTGAGCTGTTCTTGCCATAATATGGACTTGGTCTTTTACCAAATAGGGCTATCTTCTGTATACCCCCTCTACCTTGTCACAACACAACTGATTGGCTCAAACGCATTAAGGAAAGAAATTCCACAAACTAACTTTTAAGAAGGCACACCTGTTAATTGAAATGCATTCCAGGTTACTACCTCATGAAGCTGGTTGAGAGAATGCCAAGATTGTGCAAAGCTGTCATCAAGGCAAAGGGTGGCCATTTGACAAATCTCAAATTTAAAATATATTTTGATTTGGTTAACACTTTTTTGGTTACTACATGATTCCATATGTGTTATTTCATAGTTTTTATGTCTTCACTATTATTATACAATGTAAAAAAAATGTAAAAATAAAGAAAAACCCTTGAATGAGTAGGTGTTTCCAAACTTTTGACTGGTATTGTATGCTGCAATAGTCTATGTGCCGGGGGGCTAGGGTCAGTCTGTTATATCTGGTGTTATTCTCCTGTCTTATCCGGTGTTCTGTGTGAATTTAAGTATGTTCCCTCTAATTCTCTCTCTCTCCCTCTCCTCCCGGAGGACTCGATATTTATTGGAAAGGCGCATCAAGATATATAATAATAATAATAATATGCCATTTAGCAGACGCTTTTATCCAAAGCGACTTACAGTCATGCGTGCATACATTTTTGTGTATGGGTGGTCCCGGGGATCGAACCCACTACCTTGGCGTTACAAGCGCCGTGCTCTACCAGTTGAGCTACAGAGGACCACAAAGATCACCATGCACTTTCACCACCCTGTGAAGTTCATCATAATTTATTTAATCTGTAGTCTAATAAACTGCATGGTTTCCCACGCCACATTATGGTTATTATATCAATATTTGGGCATAAAGGCGTTTTCACTGCCATTTCTCGCATAATTAGTTTTGCCGACACAAAAAGATCACATGATGTCGAAATTGTCGGCATTTATAAAATTGTCCCGAAACTTCCTGTTTCCATCACAGCTGTCGGATTTTTTTTTTATACGGTATGACTTTACTCGTATAAAAACTGGATGGAAACCTCGTTAATGTCTTTGATCTTGAGGAAAAACAAACTAGCATGTAAATTACCATTATCATAGTTTGTTTACTTTCCTAGCACCATTAAGATGTTTGGACTATCGACAGATCTCTGTTTACACAGGGAACTAGTGTATTTCCGGGTGCGTGAAAAACTTTTTTTCCTTTATTTTTTATGCAGCTAGGTGACGTCAGCATTTACGGACGGAGCCGCGGAACGGTTCCTGGGATTAAAAGCCATATCACTCTCTCAGGTCCTAGAGCCTGAGAAGGAGATATGGAGTACTAAAAGAAGGAAGAAATTTGAGTTTTGTTTGTTTTGGCAATGTACTAATTTTATTAGGGTGGATGGAGTAAATTAGTATCACTATTAAGTATGGATTTATTTTTTATTTGATATATTTTGTGGTTTCAAACCGTCCAGTTGGTGGCGGCAATATAATTTTTGGATGTAGTCCGCCATAAAACCCACAGAAGAAGAAGACTTTCCGGAGGGCAGAGACAGCTGATGCAAAACGTTCACCTGCTCGTCGCCGGCTACATGATTTCAGCTACTGTATTGTAGTTGAATAGAAAACGTACCCTTTGTTGAAATATTACAAGCGAACATGTTGCTGCATGGCAGACTATCAGAGTTATGTATTTTTCTACAGGCTATGTTTGTTTTAGCGTGCTGTTTCAGCGATATAGATTTGGGGCCTATCGCGACGAGTGGATCTGTTCAACCAAACGGCGATCGTTTTAAACTCGAGGGTCGGGCAATCGTTCCTGGAGTGAAAACACAAGACTGGATTTCATCAGCCCGAGTCACGGTAGAGGGAGAAGAGTATATAGGCTTTTTGAGGTAAGACTTGAGGCTTGAACGAAGAAAAACACATAGCTAGTTACAGCTGTCGGATTGTTGTACTAGTTAAAGGTTAAGGGCTAACGCTAGCCGGGGCCCTGTGGTCACCACTAGTAACTGGTCCCGCTTGCTGCAGTGCTAGGCTAGTTTGTAGTTGACAGCAAGCTAACGACGTTGTCGGTGTCATCATCCCAGTCTATTTGCAGTCTATGGCTTAACAAATGCCTGATGATTGAGATAAAGGATAACTAATTGAGACTATGCTTAGTGTCCAACTTTTCCATGTGTTAAGTTCCACAGTGCATTAGTAAGGGGTTTAAGTTAATGTTGTTTGCTAGTTAACTAGCTAACGTTAATTATTCAGAATTGGGCCCTACACATTTACATTTACATTTTAGTCATTTAGCAGACGCTCTTATCCAGAGCGACTTACAGGAGCAATTAGGGTTAAGTGCCTTGCTCAAGGGAACATCGACAGATTTTTCACCTAGTTGGCTCGGGGATTAGAACCAGCAACCTTTCGGTTACTGGCACAACGCTCTTAACCACTAAGCTACCTGCCCCCTACACCATTTGTTGTTCTATTATCCTCCCCCACTTTGATAGTTCCCACTCTGGCCAAGGGCCCAATTTGCCAAGGACTCCAACACATGTTATAATGCTAGATCAAACTAAACATGGCTGTTACTGTATAATGTTCATTGATGCCCTAGAAAATCCCTATCCTGCAACTTACAATTTCTCTGTCTCTCTGCAGAACTGATGGAAGCTTCGTCGTCAATGATGTTCCCTCAGGATCCTACGTTGTGGAAGTGATCTCACCTGGATACAAATTTGAAGCAGTCCGTGTAGACATCACATCTAAAGGCAAAATGAGGTACAGTTGGTAGTTGTTTTGTTCAGGGTGTGAGACTGTCATTGAGCGAGGCAAACAAAACTGCATTGTTGTACCATATCAGCTTATCTTCATTCATGATTTTCCACATGTTTTGTCCACATACTTGGGGCTGATTTCCCCATTGAAAGTGCCTCTAAGTCTGAGACTAGCCTTATTCTGTGTCTGGGAGAAGTGCCCTTGATGTCTTGCCTCTTTGCCAGGCTTATAGCTAGTATACATGGTAGGGAAGGAGACAGCTCGACGTCTAAGCTGTGGTTGACTTCACAGGGCCCGCCTGGTGAACTTCATCAAGACGTCCGAGGTGATCCGCCAGCCTTACCCGCTCCAACTGAGGTCCTCTGGGCCGCACGCCTACTTCATGAAGAGAGAGACCTGGGGATGGACTGACTTCCTCATGAATCCCATGGTGAGATGATCAGATGCGAATGATGCAGAGAATAACATTTACTGTGTACTGTACTGTAGGAGGGGCCATACTGTGTCATCAGATGCTAAGTAAATGTGAAGTTACAGCTTTGTGATTGAGGAGAGTCATACTGTGGTGAAAGTGTAGTATTACTGTATTGCAATTGCTTTACTGTCCCATGCGTACACCCAAAGTTATCATACCGGTCCTTCAGCACACATGCCTCCCTAACAGGTGTCAATGAACTAGTGTCCTTTTGCATGGTGTTTGTACTCGTGAGTAATAAACAAAAAGGCCTAGAGACCCACAGAGGTCAACAAATATCGGAGAAAGAATAGGTGGTGCCTTCTGCTGTTTATTTACATTTGTACTTTATATATATATACACACACACACACACCCTACCGTTCAAAAGTTTGGGGTCACTTAGAAATGTCCTTGTTTTTGAAAGAAAAGCAATTTTTTTGTCCGTTTTAAAATAACATAGAATTGATCATAAATACAGTGTAGACGTTGTTAATGTTGTAAATGGCTATTGTAGCTGGAAATGGCTGATTTTTAAAGGAATATCTACATAGGCGTACAGAGGCCAATTATCAGCAACCATCAGTCCTGTGTACCAGTGGCACGTTGTGTTTGCTAATCCAAGTTTATTCTTTTAAAAGGCTAATTGATCAATTATGTTAGCACAGCTCAAAACTGTTGTGCTGATTTTTAAAGAAGCAATAAAACTGGCCTTCTTTGGACTAGTTGAGTACCTGGAGCATCAGCAATCAGAAACAAATAACTTTCTTCTGAAACTCGTCAGTCTATTCTTGTTCTGAGAAATGAAGGCTATTCCATGTGAGAAATTGCCAAGAAACTGAAGAACTCGTACGACGCTGGGTACTACTCCCTTCACAGAACAGTGCAAACTGGCTCTAACGAGAATAGAAAGAGGAGTGGGAGGCCCCGGTGCACAACTGAGCAAGAGGACAAATACATTAGTGTCTAGTTTGAGAAACAGATGCCTCACCGGTCCTCAACTGGCAGTTTCATTAAATAGTACCCGCAAAACACCAGTCTCAACGTCAACAGTGAAGAGGCGACTCTGGGATGCTGACCTAGGAAGAGTTGCAAAGAAAAAGCCATATCTCAGACTGGCCAATAAAAAGAAAAAATTAAGATGGGCAAAATAACACAGACACTGGACTTTTTCTTTGCAACTGCCTAGGTCAGCATCCCGGAGTCACCTCTTCACTGTTGACGTTGAGACCGGTGTTTTGCGGGTACTATTTAATGAAGCTGCCAGTTGAGGACCTGTGAGGTGTGAAGGTCAGTCAATACGGAACATTTCAAGAACTTTTAGTGCAGTCGCAAAAACCATCAAGCGTTATGATGAAACTGGCTCTCTTGAGGACCGCCACAGGAATGGAAGACCCAGATTTACCTCTGCTGCAGAGGATAAGTTCATTAGAGTTACCAGACTCAGAAATTGCAGCCCAAATAAATGCTTCACAGAGTTCAAGTAACAGACACATCTCAACATCAACTGTTCAGAGGGGACTGTGTGAATCAGACCTTCATGGTCGAATTGCTGCAAAGAAACCACTACTAAAGGACACTAATAAGAAGAGACCTGCTTGGGCCAAGAAACACGAGCCATGGACATTAGACCGGTGGAAATTTGTCCTTTGTTCTTGAGTCCAAATTGGAGATTTTTGGTTCCAACCGCCGTGTCTTTGTGAGACGCGGTGTGGGTGAACGGATGATCTCCGCATGTGTAGTTCCCACCGTAAAGCGTGGGGGTGCTTTGCTGGTGACACTGTCTGTGATTTATTTAGAATTCAAGCACACCTGTCAATTGAAGTGCATTCCAGGTGACTACCTCATGAACGTTTTGAGCGAATGCCAAGAGTGTGCAAAGCTCTCATCAAGGCAAAGGGTGGCTACTTTGAAGAATCTGAAATCTAAAATATATTTTGATTTGTTTATCACTTTTTGTGTGTGTATATATATATATATATATATATATATATATATTACTTTTTTCAAACTCTGCATTGTTGGAAAAGGACCCGTAAGTAAGCATTTCACTGTTAGTCTACACCTGTTGTTTACGAAGCGTGTGACAAATATTTGATTGATTTAATACATCTCTCTGTTTCCCCAGGTCATGATGATGGTTTCCTCTGCTGTTTAATACATCTCTCTGTTTCCCCAGGTCATGATGATGGTTTCCTCTGCTGTTTAATACATCTCTCTGTTTCCCCAGGTCATGATGATGGTTTCCTCTGCTGTTTTAATACATCTCTCTGTTTCCCCAGGTCATGATGATGGTCCTTCCTCTCCTCATTATCGTCCTGCTGCCTAAGGTTGTCAACACCAATGACCCTGAGATGAGAAAGGTGAACATAGACGGCTATACTCTGACACTATTCTTCTCTGCCTGACACATCTCTAGTCACCTGTCATGAGTTGTCTGCCATCCAGTACATTCAGTGTTGTTCCATTTAGATAAACTTGCTCATAATCAAAATGTATATTTCAAAGTAAGGGAACTCACCTCCTCCACCACCAATGTGAAGCACCTACACAATCTGTTTGTGCTGTCTTGCTAACTCCCATTGTCATGCCATAGCAGAACCAGATCTGAGACCAGGCTAGGTCACACCGGTGTGATACTAACTAATCGTGTGTGTTTATTCACTCTACCTTCCCAGGAAATGGAGCAGTCAATGAACATGCTGAACCCCAACCCTGAGCTACCTGACGTGTCTGAGTTCATGACCAAGCTGTTCTCCGGCTCCAAGGGCTCCAGCAGCAAGGCTGTAGCTGGCAGCAAGGCCAGTGGCCGCCCAGCAGTCAAGAGGAGGTAGTACCAGAATGTTACATGCTCCCCGGGTCACCACCCCGGGTCACCACCCCGGGTCAGCACCCCGGGCCTGAGGAACCACTCTAACTGGTCATGCCATGGAAATAATAATACAATTTTTAAAGAGCTTTTTCATTCATCAGTTGTACAGTTGTTTTTTGAGAGGGGTCTTTCATTTTTGTCTGAAATACAAGTCTGGCTGTCTGATTGTAAGTGGAATGACTGAGGATATGAGAAGGCTTGAGGGTAAAGCATTTTTTTTTCACTACGCTGTTCAAACCCTCGATACGAAAGAAAGATTTTACTCTTCATTTGATGTTTTGCATTGTACCTGTGAGTGACTTTGTTATGCCTGCTTGGTCCCTTCATGTACTCCTTCCCGTTTAACCCTCGTCCCCTTGGATAGATGGGATAATAACTCTCTAACAACCCTCTGGTGTGCGCTACTGTCCTGCAGCATCAGTCAGCAATTCTAATTCTTCCACTACTTGAATGAGTGCTTGCATCAATATTCAGAGATTTTCTTCTTTTTTTTTTTGAGTTGGGGGGGGGGCCTAGTTCAGGGGTGTTCAACTCTGACCCTACGAGGTCCGTAGTCTGCTGGTTTTCTGTTTTTACCTGATAATTCATTGCACCCACCTAGTGTGCCAGGTCTAAATCAGTTTGTGATTTTAGAGGGGAATAATACAACATTTTTAAAAAGCAGTGGCTACTGGCTTCGAGGTCCAGAGTTGAATATGAGGGGCCTAAATAATACAACTGTGAATGGACTGTAAAATGGATAGAATTTTAATTATGAAGAAAAATACTTATTTAAATACCTAAGTGAAATAAAATAATAACGCACCAATTGGTGAGTCGCTCTGGATAAGAGCGTCTGCTAAATGACGTAAATGTGCCCTTGAGCAAGGCACTTAACCCTAATTGCTCCTGTAAGTCGCTCTGGATAAGAGCGTCTGCTAAATGACTAAAATGAAAATGTAAATAAAATGTAGATGGTGAAACTGTGTCGTTATCAGTTGTGTTCTGTGGATAGTGTGTTCCTTGGAGAGGGAACACCATAAAGAACGTTGGCAGTGCTCAGCCGGGCGGCTGTCCTGTCGCCTCTGACCAATAGAACATCTGCCAGCATTTTATTTTCATCCTGATGACTACGTGTTGAATCGTATTGTGCCACTGGAGGTGAAATACTTGGAAAAGCGAAAGCATTTGCCAAGAATGTTTTCATTAATCAAGAACAAAAGTCGGAGGTTCGCGGACGATCGGAGACCGTCGTAGTTCTGACCAGAAACTAGCGATCCGGCGGTGTTATTCCCATGACCCGCCGGGCAGCGTCCGGGAAACCAAAGTCTTTGGGTTCCGGGGTGAGTATGGTTGCAAAGCTGAAACTTAAAGGAATTGATGGAAGGGCACCACCAGGAGTTGAGCCTACGGCTTAATTTGACTCAACACGGGAAACCTCACCCGGCCCGGACACGGAAAGGATTGACAGATTGATAGCTCTTTCTCGATTCTGTGGGTGGTGGTGCATGGCCGTTCTTAGTTTGTGGAGCGATTTGTCTGGTTAATTGTGATAACGAACGAGTCTCCGGCATGCTAACTAGTTATGTGGCCCCGAGCGGTCGGCGTCCAACTTCTTAGAGGGACAGGTGGCGTTCAGCCACATGAGATTGAGCAATAACAGGTCTGTGATGTCCTGGGCTGCACACGTGCCACACTGAGCGGCTCAGCGGGGGGCTGTGCTCCAAAAACAAAACTCTGCTCTGGGCTGGGTAGGGGGCTCGCGCCCCCCGCCTCTCCCTTCCCTCGGCGAGGGGTTCTGGGCCAGGAGGGTGGCTTCGGCTCCCGCCCGAGCTCGGTTCCCCGCATCTCCATGTCGCCTGAGTTGCGCCCGACCGGCTACATCCCGCCCTTTCCCCGTTAGGCACAGGTGCGTCGGCCGCGTCCGAAGGGGATCGGGGGTTGCCGGTGAACTGGGTCTTCCCGCCTCGGTCTCACACATCAAGCACTTGGGTCTCGCCCAGGACCCTCGCACATCTCCGGGTACCTAGCCAACCGCTCTGCGCCCTTTTTTTTTATCCATGAACTGTTGCCTCTCGCTGTGGCGAAGGGGCGGGGGAAAGGAGGGCAACCTCCCCAACCCCGCCTAGCCACTGAGCCTCTGTGTAAAAACAAAAAGAGTACAACTCTTAGCGGTGGATCATTCGGCTCGTGCGTCGATGAAGAACGCAGCTAGCTGCGAGAACTAATGTGAATTGCAGGACACATTGATCATCGACACTTCGAACGCACCTTGCAGCCCCAGATTCCTCACCGTACTGTGCACGGCCGCCATTCGCTATGGTGTGTTCCCTCTCTTTGATGGTCGTGTTCTAGAACTGCTTTATTGGAATGTCTGGAGGTTGTTATGGGGATGTGGAACATCACTGATTTATTAAGCATTGATGAAAATGTATCAACCAGTCAGTTTAATGGTTAACCAACATTAAGTGGTTTAACTAGGCACAAATGCAGGTTATCTCCCAATTCTCCTCAAGTGAGCACTGCTCTGGCCATGTATAAAGCATTGGATTGGTGTTTGTGGGCTAGAGGGAGTTTGGACCATATTTCTTACACCTGATCACCTTTTTAATTGCTCGAGTTCTGAGTGAACTTGTTAGTTATCATACCTTGGTGTGTGTTGTATTTTACGTTTATCATAAAGTGGTCTCTTGGTTTTTCACCTGCACCATTTGTAACGTGTGAATAACTGAGATGACTTTGTCATTCACTACCTAACATCTCCCGAGAACTTCTCCCGGCCTGGCCGGCTGTTTTTTAAAATTAATAGCAAAGTGTAAAAAATAGATATTAAAATGTATTCCCCATGATAAATGTTCTCAATAAAAACCACTTGTCGATGATCAGTTACACTCAGGGTTGCTGGAAGGACAACTGTTATGATGAATGACTCTATTTGTAGACCCATCTAACGTGGGAGAGGTCGTTGTGTGTCCAAAAGGGCACCCTAATCCTTATGTAGTGCACTACTTTAGCAAACGGGCAGCCACCTGCTCTGTTCTGCAACACATCGTGGGTAACCTCTGCAATGGCCCACCGTTCCCCGTCTACCCAGATAGGATCACCTCACCATGAGTCACTCAGTCAGATCCCTGTCCTCTTGGTGGGTGTCACTAGTCACTCCGTCAGATCCCTGTCCTCTTGGTGTGTGTCACTAGTCACTCCGTCAGATCCCTGTCCTCTTGGTGTGTGTCACTAGTCACTCCGTCAGATCCCTGTCCTCTTGGTGGGTGTCACTAGTCACTCCGTCAGATCCCTGTCCTCTTGGTGTGTGTCACTAGTCACTCAGTCAGATCCCTGTCCTCTAGGTGGGTGTCACTAGTCACTCCGTCAGATCCCTGTCCTCTTGGTGGGTGTCACTAGTCACTCCGTCAGATCCCTGTCCTCTTGGTGGGTGTCACTAGTCACTCAGTCAGATCCCTGTCCTCTAGGTGGGTGTCACTAGTCACTCCGTCAGATCCCTGTCCTCTTGGTGGGTGTCACTAGTCACTCCGTCAGATCCCTGTCCTCTAGGTGGGTGTCACTAGTCACTCCGTCAGATCCCTGTCCTCTAGGTGGGTGTCACTCAGTCAGATCCCTGTCCTCTTGGTGTGTGTCACTAGTCACTCCGTCAGATCCCTGTCCTCTTGGTGTGTGTCACTAGTCACTCCGTCAGATCCCTGTCCTCTTGGTGTGTGTCACTAGTCACTCCGTCAGATCCCTGTCCTCTTGGTGGGTGTCACTAGTCACTCCGTCAGATCCCTGTCCTCTTGGTGGGTGTCACTAGTCACTCCGTCAGATCCCTGTCCTCTTGGTGGGTGTCACTAGTCACTCCGTCAGATCCCTGTCCTCTTGGTGGGTGTCACTAGTCACTCCGTCAGATCCCTGTCCTCTTGGTGGTGTCACTAGTCACTCCGTCAGATCCCTGTCCTCTTGGTGGGTGTCACTAGTCACTCCGTCAGATCCCTGTCCTCTAGGTGGGTGTCACTAGTCACTCCGTCAGATCCCTGTCCTCTAGGTGGGTGTCACTAGTCACTCCGTCAGATCCCTGTCCTCTAGGTGTGTGTCACTAGTCACTCCGTCAGATCCCTGTCCTCTTGGTGTGTGTCACTAGTCACTCCGTCAGATCCCTGTCCTCTAGGTGGGTGTCACTAGTCACTCCGTCAGATCCCTGTCCTCTTGGTGGGTGTCACTAGTCACTCCGTCAGATCCCTGTCCTCTTGGTGGGTGTCACTAGTCACTCCGTCAGATCCCTGTCCTCTAGGTGGGTGTCACTAGTCACTCCGTCAGATCCCTGTCCTCTTGGTGTGTGTCACTAGTCACTCAGTCAGATCCCTGTCCTCTTGGTGGGTGTCACTAGTCACTCCGTCAGATCCCTGTCCTCTTGGTGTGTGTCACTAGTCACTCCGTCAGATCCCTGTCCTCTTGGTGTGTGTCACTAGTCACTCCGTCAGATCGCTGTCCTCTAGGTGGGTGTCACTAGTCACTCAGATCCCTGTCCTCTTGGTGGGTGTCACTAGTCACTCCGTCAGATCCCTGTCCTCTTGGTGTGTGTCACTAGTCACTCCGTCAGATCCCTGTCCTCTTGGTGTGTGTCACTAGTCACTCGGTCAGATCCCTGTCCTCTTGGTGGGTGTCACTAGTCACTCAGATCCCTGTCCTCTTGGTGTGTGTCACTAGTCACTCCGTCAGATCGCTGTCCTCTTGGTGGGTGTCACTAGTCACTCAGATCCCTGTCCTCTAGGTGTGTGTCACTAGTCACTCCGTCAGATCCCTGTCCTCTTGGTGTGTGTCACTAGTCACTCCGTCAGATCCCTGTCCTCTTGGTGTGTGTCACTAGTCACTCCGTCAGATCGCTGTCCTCTAGGTGGGTGTCACTAGTCACTCAGATCCCTGTCCTCTTGGTGTGTGTCACTAGTCACTCAGATCCCTGTCCTCTTGGTGTGTGTCGCTAGTCACTCAGATCCCTGTCCTCTAGGTGAGTGACTCTTTGTTCTCTGTAACACTCCTGGTACATAGGCAGGGTTTGAAATGAATCCTGTCATTCACAGGAGAGATCTTGTTGATGTGATCCAGAAACAGAACAGTTGAGATGTGTTAGCGACTGCAGCTCGTGGACCAATGAGTCCTATAAGTCACCTTAGATCACTGTCCCCTAGGTGGGTGGTGTCCCTTTTGTCCTCTGTAAACCCTCCTGTTACATATGCAGGGCTTCAATCATTCATGTTCAATTTAGTTGTGCATGAATAATAATGAATACTAATTGCAGTCTATGTAATAATAGCACTCTGTGTTAATATTAGAAACAGTTTTGTGGGTGTCAGTGTGAGTGTCCTTAGATGTAGGGTCTTCCGTTGAAGATCTACTTCTGTAATAAAAATACTTTCAACATTCCCCCAAGCAGTTGTAAACAAAGCTTGCGTTTTAACAAAAGAGCATTCAGAGGATCTCTAATGATATTTTTTCTATTTGTATTATTTCACTGATCAAATCAAAGGTACACAAGCGGCATGCTATCAAACACCACACAGAGAGGGCAAGATCAACATTGATCCATTCACAATATAAGTCGGCATCACCATGCTCTCTGAACGCAACACAAGGCTCAGAGCTTATAGAGGAAACGTTTTACGTTAGGAGGGACGAACGTAGGAGTGCAATAGTATTCAGCTTTAAAACCTCATAGATACATCAGGTACTGAATGTGAGGAGTGGCCATCTTACAATTAGATGTGCTGTGACGTGTCCACATTGTGCAGTAGGAGCAATGACTATATGAAATTTAATATTTTTAGCAGCTCCAACATTTGTAGGAGGATGTTATTTTCGGGTTGAGAT